CCTAGGTAAGACGTTAAACTTCATCCGGGTCCAGGGTAAGACGATAAACCACATCCGTGTCCTGGGTAAGACGTTAAACTTCATCCGGGTCCAAGGTAAGACGATAAACCACATCCGTGTCCTGGGTAAGACGTTAAACTTCATCCGGGTCCAGGGTAAGACGATAAACCACATCCGTGTCCTTGGTAAGACGTTAAACTTCATCCGGGTCCAGGGTAAGACGATAAACTACATCCGTGTCCTGGGTAAGACGTTAAACTTCATCCGGGTCCAAGGTAAGACGATAAACTACATCCGTGTCCTGGGTAAGACGTTAAACTTCATCCGGGTCCAAGGTAAGACGATAAACCACATCCGTGTCCTGGGTAAGACGTTAAACTTCATCTGGGTCGAGGGTCCGTGTGTCCTGGGTAAGACGTTAAACTTCATCCGGGTCCAAAAGACGATAAACTACATCCGACAGCAAGGCCTCTGATCAGGAGGTTTTGAAGAGCGTGAAACCACCTCTTAATTGCTTGTATTCCCAGGTCCACTCTGACCCGGGGTGGTAGCACTTGCCAGGGTCCCAGCGATGGGCAAATAGTTAACCTACAAACTGGGGTGAAAAAACTATGAAAGTGTAAAAATAAGTTTTAATATCAGCAGTTTTTTCAGGAAAAATTATTACCAGGAATACATTATTACAAGCCATACATTTTTGGTAAAAAACTTATCAGGAATAAAAATCTTGTCAGCATTAAATAACCCATTGAGTGTGACATGCGGTAAATCAAACCAAACCAGACCAAATCAAACTAGCAATACATTTTTATAGTAAATTTGCCTTCAATACAATTTGTCAACTTCCAACTATATACCTAAATATACGTTTGTCCCGAAAGTATAAAATTATGTAAAAAAAATATATGTGGTTAAAAGCATAAAAAAGTCTAAATATATATATATATATATATATATATATATATATATATATATATATATATATATATATATATGTAGATATTTACTTGACCCCCCACCACTGAGTCAGTTTGAGACACAAGGTCAGTTTTTAACGTGGGGAACCTGATTGTTTTTATTCGGGCCGCTGGCCTAAGCTGGTTAGAGCTTGTCTAAGCTAGTTATAGCTGGTCTTGCCTTGTCATAGCCGGTCCAAGCTAGTCGTAGCCGTGATACCACCAGCACAGGAACGGATCCCTGGGCCAAATGTATAACCAAACCAAACATTACTTTTCCACAGTCAATCTTGATTTTCGGGGGGCTTCAGAATATGTTACTTGAAATACATGATCATTCTAATCGATTCAATCCTACAATTCATGTCTCAGCATCTGAGACGCAAATCAGCTTAAATTACCTTTT